TAAGTGAGGGAATTTTTTCATTACTGTCACGAATCCCAGTCTTATTTGCACGTGATGATACGAGAACTATGTCGATCGGCATAAAATTAAATGAAACATCATGTGTGACTCGCGTAGCATGCCAACGCTAAATGACTTGATAATAATTTGTGAAAACTTTAATAGGTCTTTCACGAATGCACACGTGATTTCTTATTCATCAAATGTAAGATTTTCTCCGAGCATCGAATCGACACGCTGTTCCGTTTTTAGATACTGATGGATATATTTTTGGATATATGGTAAAAAAAAATATAAATATCATAAATATTTAATTTTGGCTGTTCTCTTACCTCTTTGTTAATATTCTGTTACAAATTTTATATGACAGTGAATATATATGAATAAATTTGTTGTTTGCTACTGTGATTAGGAATTAGAATTGATAAGTAAAAAGCAACAATCAATTTTTAGTATGAAATATATGTCATTATTTGTCCATGTTTAGGAATTAAATATTTCTGTGTACTCTTGAAATTTAGATTATATGATAAAAAATAAGGAGTATATAATAAAAAATATGGAAACAGTAATATTTTTAAATCTATACAATATCATACATAGGCTGCGTTTCGATATTCACTGCCACTGCCAGTACTAAAAATTTATAATGTACGTGAATTAAACTATAGATTTTCAGTACTGGCAGTGAATATCGAAACGCATCCATAATAGTTGCATAACGAAAACTTACAAATGTTTAATTATCTATGTTAGTAAAAACATGAACAAATGCAATATTTATAAAACAATATTATAAAATATTATATACAATTTGTGGGAGTTTTTTCAAAGAGTATTATAGTAAGAAAAGTGAATTTTATTCTCATGCTGCCATCTATATCTGCTCAGAAGACTACATAATTCCTACCTGCCAGCAAATAGTAGTATAAAAAGGCATCTACACTATAGCGCTGCTTATCAAATAATAAATATTTTAATCCTGCCATTGTTAATTATCAACTAATTTTTTTATCGTTATCTTAATAATTATAGGTTCATAAAGACCGAATATATTATTAATTCAAACCCTCAATTATGTGATTCTTTTTCTTTTTCTCTAACTTTTTTATTGTACAATTTTTATTAATATTTTACTGTATAACAAAAAATAGGACACTAAAGCGTACAACAGATCATATATATATAGTTTCATTTAAATTATATAAAACAAATGACGCTTATTGAGGTTATTATATCGTAGTAACATGCGAAAGTTAGAATAGTATATTTTTTAAATATTTGAATATCTTGTTTTAAAAAATTTCTTAATATTTTTTTTCTACATGCGTCGATCTTATTATTACAAATCAATTTTGATTTTTGGAGCAAAATAATTCCAAATATTCAGGTTTTACAACTTTATAGCTTGAATCGTTCTTAACATTGCTAACATATATTAATCAACATTGCTAATAATCATTATGAATGGTCGGTAATTTATTAGCGGTAGGTATATTGCACATTGTCAATTGGCATTATTTTGTTTATATATCACTAAAATATATACATTGCCCTTTATAAAAAATATATACATTGCCCTTTATATATAACAATATTATTTTTAGTTTCAGATTTTTATATTTTATTGTTAATCAGGCGTTCTCTTATTAACCATAGCATGCACTGTCATTCATACCTTGTATCGCTAAATGGCAAATAATGCACTCGGAAGACAACTTGCTAAACTCCTGTATTTGAATAATAAGTAATTATATTGCGCGTGCATGCATGTGTTGTGGGCTTCGATTATTATAGAAATTATACATCGTAATCGAATATTATGAATATCCTCGATTTATTTATTCATCGCGTTTGTTCGCAAATTTTAAATTGCTATTTATCTTATAATTTAATTTAATTGATTTACATCGGAGCTCTATCTTTTCGCGTCTTGAATGTTTTCTTTGAAAGTCTACGCAAAATGCGCTAATAGTGCAAGTACTTTCTTCTACAATTAAAAGACGATTGATAACTTTATTAACGACTCTTTCAATCGCAATTATTTACATTATATAAAACTGATTAAGCTTTATAATTGTATGTCGATTATTAATAATAAATATCGCGTAATTAACCGTCGTTAAAATGTCTTGTCTAGTAAAATTTTTAGACTAGAAATTTTATTACTAAAATTTTCTAAATACAATATTTTTTCTCATATATAAATGTAATAATGATTTATCTGTTGCATATCGAGAGTTTATTTAATCGCATGCTAAAAGCTAATTGCATTTATCTTCAATATGTTAATGCTATTTAATCTTAACTAATTAATAAAATGATCATTGATGCCTATAATTTCCCATCTATCTTTATTATTTGCAAATTAAGGATGATATTCAGAAATGAGGTTGTAATTTAGTGTTATAATTCTGTTCCGATATAAATGCTCTTAATCGATTTTATTTTGCAACAATAGAAATTGTAGATGAAACATGATGATAAATGGGAATAATTTAATTAATAGTGGGCACAGAATCTTATTTTTTAAGCGAAAATAGCGTTAAGCGAAGCGTATCTATTGTTATGTGCTTATTTCCAAATAATTAAATAATATATAAAATAATAATAAATAAAAAATTAATTAATAATAAGAAATTATATAAATTAAAACCATAATTTGATATTGCTTAAAATACTTGATATCTCTTTTGTTCCAAGAATAAGAATAAAGTGAAAGCAATTTATTTTAAATATCTTCTATACATTATATTTAAAAACTAGGAAGAAAATTATTAAGAAAATAAATTTCATATTACATGCGCATATACGCAAAAATATTTCAATAATAACTTATTATCGTTGTTCCTAGTATATATTAAAATGACAAAACATTACATGCAGCTAATAAGATCCATTAATAAATCCATTATATTTCTCCGCATTTTTGACCCACAATTATGGATCTAGCACGGACATGTATCAACCGGCCGTTTTCCCGTGGCAGATTGAAGAGTCAATCTGGTCATGTAGTTTCACCGGCTCTAAAATAGATGCAGTGAGCGCTACTGTACCAGCTTGATATATAAAAATCACACTTATTTAAAAAAATTTTCTCAAACGTACACATACACGTTTTAAATGCAAGAAAAAGAATATTTAAGGAAAAAGGATATATTACTAAAGTTATCTTATCTGTACGTAGATATAATTTGAACATTGCTTATTTTTCCACAAAACATTACAACGATAGTTTTACATTATATTATGCCATAATGTATTATTAATCGTGCATATTGCAACATGACGTAATGTGTTGTAGATTGTAAAGCTATCGTAAGAACGGCATTTGCGTAGCATAAATTCATTATGACATAAATGATGATTCAGCGGTAACAATTATGGTAATAATATTTTCCGAAGCTAATGAGATTCTCATCTCCGATATCACATCTCGCATGTTTTATTGAAATATTATACCAAAAAAAAAAACGAATTGTAAGAGGTTATTTTTAATGAAAGCGTACTAAAAAAGGCAATGACTTGAAAATTTTTACATAAAAAAAATTATATTTTGCATGAATGATTTCGTTTTTTTTAAATAAAAATAGTTTAAAGATGCTTTGGTATTATTATAATGACAAGGGTCAATCTAATCAAACTATGTCAAAACATAAAAAATGCTTCTATAATATTCGTAAAATTATATCGCAAATTTTATTTATTATGATTCTGAACATACCTTCCTTAACGCTATAAAAACACACATATCATACAAATTAATATATGTATGAAATCCAAAATCCAGAAATATATGTATTATTTTGATATTACATATATATTCTCTCTTTTATATATAATATTTAAAAAATAACATAATTTTCTGTATATATGTATAAATATTACAAAATAAATAATTAACGCTGATATATGAAAAATGCCAAACTTCGTAGAAAGTTAAAATGTTTCATTAATCTATTATATGTATTAGTATTGTATAATATATTCGATTGTTTCCGATTATTTTTGATTTTAAATCATTAAGTGCAAATTTTTTAAAGAGAAACATATGAAAAAGAGAGAAACACCGTAATTGTTATTCAGAATATAGTATGCGTACCATAATACGCAATTTTTTTACATTTCCATTGAATTATTTAAATTTGTATAATGCTTCAACATCAATCTGTTAGATAATATCGCAAATCCATGAATAGATTACGTCATTTTAGAAAAAGATCAAATGATATTTTTTTGGTAATAAAAAAATATGCTAAATAACGTTATAAATATACATTCTTTTAAATGGGGAGTGTTTTGTTTGAATTTTATATTGCATAATGTAATATTAAACAGAAATCTATTCTGATCTCGAAGTTAATGTACTGTAATGTTTGTTGATATATAATAGCGTATCTTTCACATTCACATAACATGGTATTTAGTATTTTTTACACATTTAAAATATAAATTATAGCAAAATAATTTAATAAAATAAAATAAAATACAATACTGCATATAGTTTTCTTTTATGTGTTGATTATTATTGATTTATTATTTTTCTCTTTTTTTTTGTTTGTATATATAATATGTGGTAATTATTATACATTAAGTTTCTAGATAAGCAATCAGTATTAACACATGTGTATAAATAATAAAAAAAATACAAAGTTATAGCAATCAATATGATATCGAGTACGATATGAAGGAATTGAAAGAGAAAAATTATTACAATTAAATAGTATTAATAATGTTTAATAAAATAATAGCTTAACTTTTTATTTAAAAGTTTATTAAAAGTTTACATACATTCTTATAAAACTTCTTTTGGTTTGTTAAATATTCAGTGTGTAAATCTACATTTTAAACTGTAATGAAAAACAAGATGAAGGTTTCTCTCAGGTATATAATTAGCGATTACACACGCAAGAGTATAAAAGGAATATGCGTCAATGATTTTTTTTTTCAGAGAATGCAGAATGTAAGGTCAATGTAAAAAACGTAAAAACAAACATCTATTTGTTTACCATTTTATTTCTTTTATTATCGTAATTTATTTTTGCCATTAAAACTCCAACATAACAAAAATGAAATTTTTATAAATCAAAATAATGATATTATGCGAAATATTAAGCTTAGAATACCCCATATTAGCAAAATTGAAAAAACGGTTATTAGTGTATAATGAGCAAATTTTAGCCTGGAAAAAAGAAAATTCATTATACATACGTTTGCGAGATGAAAACTACAATAAAAATTCACGCAGAAGCAATACTCACTTCCTATATTTCTCTCGTCCTTTTTCTATAGTATCCAGTGGATCGTTCATTAAGTATACGCGCATACCAGGAATCATATGTTTAAGATGTGATTCCCAGTCTAGATCATCTATGTTAAAGTTGAAAATCTCGCGATCAGCTGGATTCATGCGTTCCCAGAGGTTTATAACAGCGTCGTTACGGAACCGCCATTGTTGTGATAAAAAGTACGATATCACGGAGTAAAATTTGTCTATCTTCACATATGCTTTTCGTAGCCTGTAAATTGTAAAATCTGTATTTTTGCGAGAATTCTTCATTATATGTAGATGAAATCGATGAAATTTTTTTTTTCTTACATAGGTTTTCGTCCGCTAAGGAACAACAGAATATCACATATAACAGCAGGTATTTTATGTAACAATATTACGCAGACTTCATGTACGAATTTGTATTTGTTTAGCAGCAGGAGCATATACCAAATAACGTGCGTGCTTACTACTTGCATGCCGTAAACCTTATTCAAATTCAGAAATCTCTCCCAAGTGAGGGGATTTTGACATGTTGATACATAGTTGTAAATCGGCACTCTTTTGGTTTCTTGTATCTCCGGATTCGCGTTTTCGATACTGAGTAGATCATTTCTTTAACGAAAAATATATATTACAGGTAATAAAATTATGAACTGCTGTGCGCTTTAGTGTCCTATTTCTTGTTATACAGTAAAATATTAACAAAGATTATAAAATAAAAAAGTTAGAGAAAGAGAAAAAGAAAGAGAGACAGCAGGGAGAGGGAGGAGAAAGAGAGAGAGAGAGAGAGAGAGAGAGAGAGAGAGAGAGAGAGAGAGAGAGAGAGAAAAAGAGAAATCGCATAAATTTTTTAAACTTATATTAATTTCTAGATTTTTAATTCTTTTAATCAAATATATATATATAGCAAAATTCGGGCGTCTTGTATATGAAAAAAACGTTATTATATTTTTATTACTTTTTTTCATTATCTATAAATATTTTTCAGTTTTAATTTTTGTCTTAACAAAAATACCAAGGAATTACTAGCTTTTTCATTAAAAAGAATTAAAAATCTAGGGATTAATACAAGTTTGAAAAATTTATGAAAAATTTTTCTTTATCTCTCTCTCTTTCTTTTTCTTTTTCTCTAACTTTTTTATTGTACAATTTTTATTAATATTTTACTGTATAACAAAAAATAGGACACTAAAGCGTACAACAGATCATATATATATATATATATATACATACACGTACACACACATACACACACATAGCAAGATTCAAATATATATATAATATAAATTATTTTTACACGTAAAGAGTATCTAAAAAAAACTACTTTTGGTAATATAAACTTACTTTCTTTTGGCGAGGTCCCAACTTGCAACGATGCAGTGAGAAATGACATAATCGGCGGGCACTAATTCTGCTACATTTTCAGGTGGGCAATGCAAAGTACGTAATAAACCCATAGCAACACTCATAACTACGCCTGCCGCTCCGTATACATTGTTAATCCATCCAGGCATTGGCTCCTTTGCCGTTGATATTATAACTGATGGGCGTACGATGCAGGCCGGAATTCCAGTACTGTATTGCCGCACAGCATCTTCAGCAATTGCTTTTGTAAAGGTGTATGTATTCGGCCATTTATCTATTAATCTGCACATACATACATCAATGAAAGATAAAGATTATAAAAAAATATTTATTGCATTCTTATATCAATGAAATGGATTTAACTTTTTTAAATTTTTATTTTTTCTGGAAAGGCACTTACGTCGGCGTTAATTTTTCCAACTGTTCATCGTTCAAAATATCGAGTAATGTTAAAATTTTATTCGTTTCAATAGGTGAAGGATAAAACTTTTCTTCAATAAAGTCGTATATGCAATGAGAAACTGCGGTAGATATATATATAAAAGCCTGAAAAGTAATTGTGTAATCAAAGTTGCGTTTTTGCAATCATAAAAATAAATCTCGAATAACATGAATTTTTTATATACCTTAAAATCTGGCATTTCTTTCGCGAGGAATATTATATTTAACATTATATATATATATAAAAGAGTTCTATCACTAAAAAACTTATATTTTGGAAAAATTCGTTTGTAGGTCGAGTTTTTTTTTTAAAATAAAATATTACAGTATAATTTAGCGATAGAGATTATGTGTGTGTAATTCTAATAATGCGTTATCCATTATAAGAAAGTATTATTGAAATGCCCAACTCGAAATCTATTTCATATTACGTTGATGTCTTAATAAATTATTTTGCACATTATTTGTACATTGCACTGAAGATTTCCATATAAAAAAAAAGTACTTACCGCAATAACTTTTCTAATAGAAGTATACCGAGGAAACCTGAAGCACCTGTTAGAAAAACTTTACAACCCGCGAAGAATTGAGGGATTTCACTTTGATAATCGCTAGCATCCTTTGTCGGAGAATCCGACATATTCAACATATCCTCAACGTAATTTCTTTTTTGCGCCATCTTATTGCTCTATGTAGCAAGAGTTTTTATCAATTTTCGCAATTCTCTTTGCAACTCTTATGAAGTCGGAATAAAAACCAACAATTTCCAATAATTGACACGATACTTGATCACTAATTTAACGAACTGATGAGTTTTCTATTATTTTTAATTTTTGCAATGTATAGGAATGCTTCTTCTAGAATGTTTCCTTAAGATATATCTAGAATGCTTCTCTTTGAGATATAGTCATGCAAAGAATCGATGAATGTTAACTAGTTATTACAATAAAGTAACAGAGACGATCTCGTGGTAAACTTGACGACAATTGCGTTTCTACTGACCATAAGATGAGAAAATGCGAGAGTATAAATAGGCAGAAATTGAAAGGCAAAAAGAAGGGGAACATTAATTCTTTAAGGGGATCCTGGACCATAATTTTTTTACCAACCAAACGCAATTTTTTGATTTTACCAGTTTTTATAATGGCTAAACGGAATTACAAATGCGCAATTTTTTTACATTTCCATTGAATTATGTAAATTTATAAATTGCTTCAACATCAATCTGTTACATAATATCGCAAATCCATGAATAGGTCACGTCATTTTATAAAAAGATCAGGTGATATTTTTTTGGTAAAAAAAAAATATGCTAAATAACGTTTTAAATATACATTCTTTTAAATAGAAAGTATTTTGTTTGAATTTTATATTGCATAATGTAATATTAAATAGAAATCTATTCTGATCTCGAAGTTAATGTACTGTAATGTTTGTTGATATATAATAGCGTATCTTTCACATTCACATAACATGGTATTTAGTATTTTTTACACATTTAAAATATAAATTATTAGCAAAATAATTTAATAAAATAAAATAAAATACAATATTGCATATAGTTTTCTTTTATGTATTGATTATTATTGATTTATTATTTTTCTCTTTTTCTTTGTTTGTATATATAATATGTGGTAATTATTATACATTAAGTTTCTAATATATATATATAGCAAAATTCGGGCAAGTCTTGTATATGAAAAAAATGTTATTATATTTTTATTACTTTTTTTTATTATCTATAAACATTTTTCAGTTTTGATTTTTGTCTTAACAAAAATACCAAGAAATTAATAGCTTTTTTAGTAAAAAGAATTAAAAATCTAGGAATTAATATAAGTTTGAAAAATTTATGAAAAATTTTTCTTTATCTC